AATATCGACAATTTAAAAGCTCGCAGAAAATGTACAACTAAGTGTTAAGGTCGATACGAGCCAATATACCGGGAACGTGCAATTATAAATACATTTATTTATTTCCTTTAAATCGTTTAATTAAATAAATTTATTTATTTATTTATTAAGTAGAATAATTTATTTTTTTTTAATAAATTTATTTATTCATTTACTTCCCGTAAATTAATACACGCGTGGAACTTTGATTCGAAAATTCACACAGAATGTTTGGGTGACATCTCATATGTGTAAAATAAACAATTTACTCATGGAAATTAAAAACATCCATTGCAAACAAAAAAACACCTTAAGAAGTCAAACTCGTATCTTTTGCATTCCGCGCAGATATGTGAATATTTTTCTAAATAAAGAAAAGTCACAGAGAGAGAACAATAAAGTTACTTTCTTTAGCTACTTAAAAACGCGTTACTTGTGTATGTATGTAGTGCATTTCTTTTTGTTAGAAATTTTCCACGCAATAATTTTACGTTGATTAAACGCTACACCGGACCCCGACTTTCCGTTCTCGAAAGTACATTAAACGACATAAACCAAAAAACCTTTTTCATGATTATACGACGCAATAGATGCAAAGAGCTGCCGTTCCATCCGACACCCACGCGCAATTTTCCAAGTTACTGTCCTCCGATAAAAAAAATGTGAAAAAAAAGACGAGATAGGAAAGGGAATGGCGACCCGGTTGCGTCAAGACGGCAGGGAGCGCATCATAGGGAGTAGTTGGATCGCAAAGAGTGTACTCTCTTTCTGTTCCCCTCTCTCTCTCTCTCTCTCTCTCTCTCTCTCCGTCGTGCGTCGTAATTACGCAGTGTATTACGAGCGGCGTTACGACGGGGGATGTTACGTTAACGTGGCTCGTGTTGTACGTGGCGCGAACCGGCGCGCGAATTAAGAAGATGAAATTAAGGCGGAGCTACAAATTTCCTCGCGCGAGACTGCCTTTAAATAACACAGACCAAAATAGAAACCCTCCTCTCACGCGATTCGTCATTCGCAGCTAATTTTCACGAATTGAAGGAATCGTCAATCTCGACTTATAACACCGCGATTAATAATGAACTTTTTTTCCGACATTATAATTTATGAAAAAATAAATAAATTCTACCGCAAATTATATTTTCGCAAATCTGCGTAAAACGAGTTTGAAAAAAAAAGAAGGAAAAAAAAAGAAAAGAGAGTGTTCACTCGCAGACTTCCCTAATGCCCGCATATTTCGCGACATGTCGCGCGGAGACAGCGACTACGCTCGTATTGCGCGTGATATTTCTCGGGCGCGACGTTTCATGCATACAGCATCGATGACGATTTTTCAGCTGCGCGACTTGTTCGTTGCCCCACTGGATTGCTGAACTAGCATTTCGTGCATTTATCATAAAAAAAGATAAAGTGGATTAATTAATTCTGCGACAACGCAGACGTTTATCGCCAGAACATTATACCGTTGTTAAAAAAAAAAAAAAGAAAATACTATACGCGAGTACAAAAAAGTCAAATACGAAGATATTATCGTTGTTGTGACGATGCTACTAACAGAAATATTTTGATAAATTTGACGAAACTATATTCACTTGTTGGAACGGCCGTTAACTTCGAGATACTACCTATGTCACTATATTTGTTACATTTTTAATTCTCGAGTATATTGAGCTGCGCGCTCATTGCGGTCAAATCTGAATTTATGCGCATAATTTATATGCGCATTATCGCACGCGAGAAAATCTATCACGAAACGGAATAATAAATGATTCCTTTATTTTAATCGCAAACACTTGTAAAAACTAACTTACATTGTCGAAAGATTGAGGGAGAAACAAGCATATAAAAGTACATATCATTAGATCTAAATTTTGTATAGTTTAAGAAGAAATGCTTTAAACCTAGTATTTCAACCTCTTTTGTCGTCGTTTGTCAACAAACAATTCTCCCCCAAAAAAATCATCTTTGTATCGATTCGAAAAAGAGTATATTTCTCCTTTTAAACATATTTTTCTTTACTTTGAAACTCATAAAACAGAAAATAATAATAATCAAGCACAGAAATAAAAATTCATTTCAGTGATAATTACTACTTAAAAAGCTAGAAATATATGTAAAATAAATAAATATACATAAAATCTATATAACAAATCTACAATATTTATAGAGTATTTACATTTATAATAAATATATAACAAATATATATATAAAATCACATTTTTGTTTCTCTTTCTACTAAAGAGAGTGATCGAAATAAGAAAGACAATTTTCTTGATTTACGGTCACACTCCGAGAAACGAAATAACTCGTAACAAGAGATAACTCCGAATTTCACCAAAGGCGAGTAAAAGCCAGCGGTCAAGGCCGACCTCGATTTTCGACGAAAGCGAAAGAGATAGAAAGACGAAAGACCCGTTTGGCGACATTTTGGCGGAGAAATTTCGAGCAGCAAGCACGCATGACTTTCAATTAAAAACGTTCGAACTGTCTCTCGAACAAAGTCTTACAGCGCGCGACTCTCGCGACAAGAAATATAATCGAAGAACGCGCGTAGGAGAAAGTCGTTGACAAACTGGCCGCGGAACCTGCTGAATGTCAGCTGACAACGAGCGCGAAGGACGTAAGAGGTGAGGCGCACCGGACGGAGTATAAATAATAAATCGCGATACATAATAATAACGCGACAGCATAACGAACACTGAATCGAAAACAAAAATGCGACAGAAAGAAATCATGACTGTGCAAAAAGCAAGAAGTTTATTTTAGCTTGAAACTTGCGCTTTCAAGATCGTCCGCATTTCAAATTTAATCAATCGTATTGAAAGTGGAAGCGATATATTTTGGCAAGAGTTCGCGGCTTAGGATCGTCTATTGCAAACTTAGGATCCAGTTCTAGTTACATAAATGTACGTGTGTGCGCCAACAGGAAGCGTGTTTCGAATGTGGGTCAAATCTCGAACTGAGCACATGGCTGCGCGGTGAAATTAATAACGACGACAGTATCAAAATTAGGACGTCCGATGGAGCCATTTCGACTCCTCCGGAGTCTCTTTGTTTTATCGTTTATTTCTGTCATTTGTTAGCGGTTTCGAAAAAATTTGTGTTACATCTCTCGTCGAGATTCGTTCTTGCGAGAGAACAATTAACGGCAAGTCAAAAGAAAAAAAAAACAAAAAATAAAAAATATTAATTTTTCTCAACCGCGATAAGAACGCAATGAAGAAATCACGATAATATTTTATCCGGTATTTCCAGTGTATTAACTTCGTTAGCGCGGCGAAGAGAACGAAGTGAAATTGTGCGCGAGTGACAGTTTATCGCACGCGCGGCGGAGAGTCGGCCGACGTCACGTCAAAGGTCGCGTCCCGTGATATATACCGAGATTCTCGTAGCATGACTCGTGCAAAATGTAATAATGATGGCGCAAGTACTTGCCCGCGATGTGATGAATTTTCCTGTTCTCGCAAGTGATCGATGACGGATCTGCAACGACGAGGGAATGGACAGCCAAGTTCACGGCGAACACGAAAGACGGGAGTGTCGCCAGATTGGCGCACCGGATACTCCGCTTCTAAAATTTCTTGACAATGCACCACGGCATGTTCTTCTTCCGGCGCGCGTGCGACGACGGAATTTTGTCGCGTAAGAAGAGATCTTCCTGTCAGATCGCCGACGACATACACGCGCGCGCGTGAAGGAAAGCGTAAGAAGGAAACGGCGTTGCGTTGGTCCCTCGGCACACTCGCGCCGTTCGCGCCCCGAACGAAAACGGAAGAAACGAAATAGGAGAATAGATAGAAAAAGGAAGAAGAGAGAAAAAGACGCGACCGAATTTTCCTGAACCGATCGCGCGCGACTCCTACACCACACCACCGCGAGATGTAGCGCTCCGAGCGTAGCACCGCGCACTGACTGCTCTCGCTCGCCGTTCACGGCATTCACCAGGGCGATAAACAAACTTCGCCGCTTGCTCCCCTTCCACGGGACGAATTCGCGCACCTTATCCCTCTCGCTTCCACCTTCACGGCTACCGTCACTGCGAATACATGTTCCGATTCCCGTACTCGCGCAACCCGCTCTCGCGATCCTCGTCACACCACCGCGTTGCCCCACGTCATACTGATGCGCGCGCGCTCAGCTGCTCTAACACCCCGCTCCGTGACGTCTTTCGCGCCTGCGCAGTAATGTCAACAGCGATTTAATCCCCCACCATCGCGATGTTTCGTGCGCGAAAAAAGAGAGCACGCTCTCTACCTGTTTATATGTATGTATATATATGTATTTCGAGGATTTTTTTTGACACAATCGTGACTCTTGAAAACATTCGCTATCGAGTATGTTTATATTTTATGATGTTTTATGTACGCGTGTGCGTTCGGCTGTTTTGTTTAAAAAACCAAAGTATATATTTACGGACTGCGTAGAGTTTATTAACCAATCGGAATTTGAATCTTTTGCTCTTTTCGTTCTGATTGATCAATCAAACGCTGTTCCATTCAACAAATAGGATTTTCACAGATAGAATGTCAAACTTTTAAACGCGCGTCCGCGCGATCTTATTCGCGCCATCTTTGAGAAGTATCGTTCAATCATCGGGAGAATCGTAAAATACATATTTTGATCACTACACAGAATTAAATATGTATGTGAAAAGAAGAAATAAACTTTGAATATTAATTGGAATTGGAATTACAAATATAAATTACAAATATATTAAACTTTTTTTTTTATGAATTTTAACCTCCGAATCGAATCTCTATGTTTTCTGCGAACGATAACATACTTTGTCGGTGACGCAGTTCGCAACTTTACCATTCATCATCGGTAACATTCATTCTATTCTTATAATTGTGACATAATTTTGTAAAAAAAAAAGCAATAATTATTTAACACAGAAACGAACTAAAATATAAAAACTTAGTAGATTCTATCAAGAAACATAAATCTGATGTTGTAATTTCTCGTTGAAATATTTTTAGTTCGCCGTATATCTGAAAGATGGCAACGCGATAATCGATACGACGGCCATTTTCTCTCTTTCTACAAAATCTTCGTTCTTTAGTTGGATGCAAAGAAGACATCATGGTAATGTATATTACGTTTTCTAGCGTTAATCCGTCAAAATTGCAGTAATCCGTGATAAGACGCGAAAAATTAATACGTGCTTGTTTCACGGAATTTTTATTTGACTCGACAGTGCGAATATTATTGATCAAAAATTGTGTGACAATGTAAAATCACGTTTGTCTAGGTTAGGTTATGCTGTTGTTCCGATAGAAATTGCAATTTGTTGGTCAAATGCGAAATATACAAATTTGTTTATTTGCATGTGAATTTACTTGTATTGTCTTTTTATTTGCAGAGTCGTGTTCGAACGAAGACGGTCAAAAAGGCCGCAAAACTGATCATAGAAAAATATTATCCTCGATTAACTCTGGATTTCCACACAAATAAGCGCATATGCGAGGAAATAGCAATTATTCCTAGCAAACCATTGCGCAACAAAATTGCTGGGTAAGTAATAATGTTAATAAAACTCTCACACTAGGTCAATAAAAATCTTGAGACTTTTGAGACTTACTGTTCAACTTTGTTAACCTTATTCGTTGTCTGATACATGTGGTTAAATCTGTTAGACTGATACATTGAAGATAGAGTGCTTCAACTTTAATATAGTAGAGAATAAAAGTAATTAGATAATTACTATTTTCTTCTCCTTTGTCTGTAATTAGCCTCAAAAGTAAATAAAATTTTTATTGTACTATTTTTCTTTAATACAAAAGTTGTTACTGTAGCTGTATTGATAACAAGCGAATGTGGTTCACTATTAAAAAGATAAATAGATAAATGTCTAGTTTTACTAATGATAAATTAAATATAAAAAATAAAATATGTTGTATAAAATAAATTATGTGAAATAATAAACTATATAGCTTTCTGTAATTTAATGATACAATTGAACATAACCTGTTTCATTATATATTGATCATTTTGAACTTTTTATCATTATCAGATTTGTTACTCACCTGATGAAGAGATTGAGACATAGTCAGGTACGTGGCATCTCCATCAAGCTGCAGGAAGAAGAGCGTGAACGCCGTGACAACTATGTCCCGGAGGTTTCTGCTTTGGAGCACGACATTATTGAAGTTGATCCGGAAACCAAGGAGATGTTAAAGATGCTGGAGTTCAACAACATCACTGGACTTCAACTTACACAGCCGGTGCCACAGTTCAGCAGGCGATCTTAATTTTTTTTTTTTTTTTTATAATTATAACAAATAAACTTCAAGTTATAAAAATGGTCTTGCACTTTTCAAATAAACTTGCAAACTGACACCTCAAATATCCTCTATAAATATTGTCCTTTCACAATAGTAATCTCTAACATTTAGTTAATAATTTATAATGCTGGTATATCCAGCAATATTTTGAACTTTAAAGAGTGTTTAAAAAATTGCAAGTTTGTTCGTATATTTTCAATCACTAGTGAAAAATATTAAATTTGTATTTAACATTTTAAACCTCGAAAATGATACGATTTAGAGAGACATTAAAATTTAAAGCGAATGCCGACGTGATGCGCGTGCGCCCGATCGCCATGTCAATTGCACAGAACGAAACGCGTGATGGTCGTCTGTTCCGCACTGTGGGACCGAGTACGTTTCGGACGAAAACGTCTGTCTTCGTCTGCTCCGATCGCTACGCGAGGCATAAATAACCGTCAGCGTACAGTTGTTTGATTGTTCTAAAATTTGTGAATCCGCGTCACACACGACAACGTACGAATAATTAGATTATTGCACATGTGCGTGGGCATTATTGTTAATCGGCCCCGTTAGTCGCGTCAGTTTATCGAGCCGCGTTTTCCTTTTTGTTTCGTTTGCCGTTCCGGCTGGATACGACGATCGTTTCCTCTAACCGCTCGCAATATTCGATATCGTCGCCGGAAAATGACATATCGCTGATTTGATTTAGTGAACCAATCTCGCCTTGGAGATAGCTATATTTCTCACGATGTCAACCGCGAGACTGTAGCGTAGGGGAGGGATAGAAGGGTAACAACTACATCCCTGACGCGTTGCATCGGCCAGGTGCAGCTCGAACGTTTCTCGGTACCCCCTCGCGCGACCGATCGCATTGTGACGCGGAGAGGATCCGCTCGGTGATCTGGTTCTCGAACAATGCGCTCCGCGCGAGGACGGGGAAACGATAAACGCATTTGCATGGTGCAACAAAATCGAATTGTCAGCGTGGAACAGTCCGGATATTCCGGAGAGAGGTCGCTTTCTCCTAAATCGCGTCGTTGCATCGCCGTTCAGACCGGACGTATTTGCATGCTTGCAACGTAAATGCATCAATCAAATTGCGCTGCGAATCGCGCAATTATACGCGTTGATCGTCATTTGCGCACGCCAGCGAGATCCATCTTTATGGGAGCGAGACGAATCGGCGGCGTCGGGCGTCCCGCGCGACATAAATTCGACGGCGCTCAATAAATTCGCGTTTGCGACGAAAAAGCGTTGCCCTGCGCGAACCCGACGCCTTCGACAAGAGTCGGCCCTGGTCGGCCGTGAGGCGAGTTTGCGCGCGGACCTAACGTTGACATCCAAGGCTAGGGACCTAGTGCCAACCTAGCGCAACCTCGCCGCGTTACGGCGGAAAGGAAGGATTCGGGGACAGGCGCGCGCGGGCAGAAAGAGAGACGGCTAGCGCGAAAGGGCGCGACGAGAGATACTCGCTCGTGCGTAAGAGAAAGAACCGAGCGAGGAAGCGTAGCGGTTTGCTCCGGCGGCGGCGAGAACGCGCCGGAGCGCTTCGTGACTAGTCGAGGGACAAGGAGGGAAGGTTCGCACACACGGCCCGCAAGAGAGTCAGTCGACTATTAGTGGTCTGTGACTCTGGTGGTGGGCCGACCACCGCAGGAACCGAGCCCGACGCAGCTCGGTCGTGCTCGGCCGGCAGTCGAGGCCAGTCGGCCGTACCGCGCCGTTTTCCTTGCCTACGTTCGCGCGCTACGCTCTCCTCAGTACGTCGTAAACTGTGCAACGCGATACAACAGTCACCGCGTACAATACGCTTGTTTTGCTCGTTTTCGTTTATTTTTTCTTTTCATTAAAAGCGACGTAACAGTGACCCACGTTACCTCGCGCTATGTGACGGACATCACGGGGCACCGCGGTGTGTACGCCCCCCTCCCTTCCCCCCGTCTCTCGTACGTGTCTCGTACTCCTTTCTCGATTGTATTACCTACTCTCTCCTCTCCGCCGACTGTACTCCGATCTCTCGCCCTTTACCGAGACCTACCCCACCTCCCTCCTTTATCTCCTCTCCCGCGGTATTCCCCCCTCGTTCCTGCCCTTTCCCCCCTTCTCCTCCTTCGTCCGCCGCCCCGTTGTGGAAAAAGAGAAAGACATACTGCCTCGTAAGCGATCGTATATTTGACGACAACGACGACGACGACGACGGGTAGGCAGCCACGAGGAAGGCCTCGTGGAGAAGCGTAACCTGGAAGAAAGATGGAGTGCCCGCACCTTGCTCAGAGCGTGCGTTTTGGCGATGACAACGCGGAGGGTTCGAACTGTGCTGTGAAAGATCTGCCCTTCGTTTGCACAGGTAAGGAACTCGTACAAAGCCCCGAGAGAGAAAGAGAGAGCTTGTACTGATTCTAAGCCAGAGTTCGGGCGAAGCGAAGAGAGACAGACGGATGGACGGACAGACAGACGGATGGATGAGATAGAGGGAGCGGACTCGTCTCTCTCTCTCTCTCTTTCTCCAAACCTAAGCCTTTCCTCTCGCTATTTTTTTCTCTTTTCTTTTTTTCGCTCTGCCCTGTCCTTAATCTTCGTTTTATTCTCCTCATCCTCTTAATACACACGCGACGCTCTCGTGTTCACATACAAAGACACACACACACAAGGCTTGCAACAGCTCTCTCTCTTTCTCTCTTTTTCTTTCTCTCCGCGTCCCTTTCTCCGTCTCTCTACCACGTTGGCTCCCGTGCCACGCTCCTCGTTTCATCTCTCTCTCACATGACCCAGGCCCCGGCCGTTCCTCTCGCGGCCTTGAGCCGTCGTGGCGTAGACTAGACGGAGCGGATCGTCGCTATTTCCCTCAGGAAACGTTTCACAGGCGCGTTTTCACGTTGCCGATATCGCCTGAATTTCTCCGTTTGACGCACGAAGCCACGAGAACGAGCAACGTATCGCCACGCGAGAGTACCGTGCATACTTTCTTTCTCTCTCTTTCTTTTTTTTTTCTCTCTCTCTGTCTCTGTCTCTCTCTCTGAGCAATATTCACGCATGAGACGCGAGTGAGCGAGCGAGTATAACATGAGTTCTTCGTACGTATGTGTGCGCGCGCGTGTATGTGTGTGTGTGCGTGCGCGCGCGTGTGTGTGTGTATGCGCGCCGTTTCTCTCTCGCGCGGCGTGTTCGTGGTCCCATGGCTCGTTCCGCGTGCGAGAACGCGACGGCGTGGTCGGGTGATGGTGTGCGCGTGTGCGTCGTCCTGCTGGGAGTTCTCAGTATGCGGCGCGCGGTCGTCATTGGAAAATCAATACCAGACAGCACTAATCAGCTGGCTTCGAGAGATCTACCGTCATTAGAACTCGCCGGCTAACGGACCCGCTCCGGGTTCCTCGGCTCCCTTTCTCGAAGCGACCGCCTTCTCGCGGGGCATCGCGTAAGAATCAGAGAGAAAAGAATGGCGTAAGAAAGAGCGACGTGTAAATATGAATAATATTGTGGCATTGTCCGCGCGGGAAGCGATCGATGAGTCGATTGCACGGCGCGAAGAAAAACGGGATCTACCATATATGTCGTATGTATGTGTGTGAAATACACAGGATCCCCTTGTCCTTCGAGTAAGAGAGACGGTGACGTTGGTCGCAGTGTGTGGCTCTGTAGGTATCGATTTAAAAAAACACGCGAACGGAGCGATCATTACCAGAGAGGGGCTGCGCTGTAGAGACAACAAAGCCGTCGTTAGAAAAACACAGTTCTGTGGTGAAGTTGATCGAAATTCAATCGACAACCGACCTATTCTTTATTGCGTGGGGATTAATATTCGAGGGGAATCGTCATTAGCGTCAGATCGCGGAGATATACGTTTCGTAATATCGAACCGAAAGTCGCGAACACAATTGTCTCGATGATTACAAAACTCGAAATAGCGGAACAAAGTCAGTTATCGCTGACCGCTAGCGATAGTCGCGTTCCAAGTCGCGGCGTTTCACGAAACACAATGCACGACCTGATAGGGGAATCCCCGGAGTAGTGGAGAAGGGGAAAGACAATCGTCGGAGAGAAGCGAGAGAGAGAGAGAGAGAAAGAGAGAGAGAGAGAGAGAAAAAGAGAGAGAGAGAGAGAAAAAGAGAGAGAGAGAGAGAGAGAGAGTTGCCCCTCGGAGGCCGTGAAATTAACGACAGAGAGACGCGAGAGAGCCCGTTTCTTTCCCGAATCTCCTGGTGCGACCCTCTCGGCGCCTCGCGCGGGCTGCCGAGCTTCTCTCCTTTCTCTTTTTGCGCGACCTCGGGACTATATTTATCCGAAACGGTACGCGTTTTTTTCTCCCCCTTGCGTATTTACACCGTCTTTCCTTCCTCCGCTTCATCGGTTCCAAAAAACCCCCATGAATCGGCGCAATTGAAGTGGCAAGTGTCAGAAATCGCGGATTCCGCTCCGGTTTGGCCGATTACGCGCGACGTGATTCTCGCTTATTCGACCGTGTGTGATATCGTCGATATCTTATGTAAGTCGATGCCGCATCGATTTCTGGCATCGTTCGCGACGTCCGCTTTTAGCGATGTATGCCATTAGCTACAGATATTCTCTTCCTTCTAATTTTTTTTGTTTTTGTTTTTTCCTCTTTCCGTTATTCGGTTTAATAACGCGTGTTGTGTATCGAGAACACTTTGATTAGTTACGCATGGAACTTTACTGACGAGCGATTACGGACGAAGCAACACAACTTCGACTTATCGAAACACACAGAAGATGATAATTCCTTCTAAGAGATCATCGAAAACGGACGTGTAATTTGATTTGTTTTTTTTTACCGCGCTCTGACTTTTAATATAACCGCGCACAGTGAACGACGGTTCGAATCGGCTGTGCGATTTTCGAGCTGGCCGGTCGTTACAGCTGGAATTGCGGCACGTCTTTCTTCTCGCCGCGTGCGCGATAAGATGGTGGGGATGTATAATCGGTAGAGAAACAGCGCGAGAACAGACTGCCGTCAATTTCGGGCGTAGGCAACGAAGAGAGAGAGAAAAAGAGAGAGAGATAAAAATTGTTAATTGAAGAACGGCTTACTGGAGATGTAACGAGTCAGTAATTGTTGCAAATTATTAAATATCGTTATTAGTTCTCAACGTTGAGAGCGCAATCAGCTATTTATGTTAAATTTGAAAATATCTCTCTCTCTCTCTTTCTCTCTCTCTCTCTCTCTCTCT